ATCGATAAAAATCTATTTTCCCATAAAAATAAAAGCTAGTACTTTACAAATAGTAATAGTTAATTATTCTCAAATGCTCTGACGAATAATATTTATTTTCTTTAATATTATTTCAGTTTTAAAACATAAATAAATGTATAAAAAAAGGATAATAGTTACCCTGTTCGAATTTACAGTATACGTATCGTTTACTTTTTCGTCTGAGTATTTGTTCTCACTGATCAATAAGGGTATTATCTATCAGATACCTTTTTTTTTATATATGTTGAGTCATTGCATTACTGTAATATTTATATAAAATATTTTATCGACGAAATAAATAACGTCAAAACAACATTATAGCCATATAAATCCTACGAATAAGATTTAAAATCATATGACAATTTGATGCACGTATATAATGCATACGATTATTTTTATAATATCGACAAAGAATAAAATGATAAGATTAATTACTTCGAAATAAAAAATACATACATTCTAATGATACGATTTTTATTTCTTTTTCTTCTGTCTTAAGTATAGGCGTTTCCCCATCAATCACATTTGTGATGAGATACATATACACGAAAAACAACTCCGTATAAGGTAATTTCAAAAGAGATAAATATGATTTTATTAACGATCATTTTTATAATCAAAGAGATACAAAAATCAAATGCATTTCAAGTACTATTGTAAATTGTCAGGTCATTTGATTACATCTATTTGTAAATACTCTGAGACAATTCAAGGATGATTTTATTAGGTTTTCATCGATCATCGAAATCTTGTCCATTAACAGCAAATGTCATTATGTAAATAAAAAGTACCTATAAAAATTTAATTCTCGACTACTTTTTTTTTCGAAAAAACGAATATAACAGATAATAACAGAAATGAAAAACCGAAGAAAATTATAAACTAAAGTTTAATAACAATTCAATAATCATTTATCTTTTTAGAAAAATAATCAATAGTAGTTAAATGTTTCTACAAATATATATTTCGTTTAAATGATTTCAACTTTTTTTTCGTCTGATAAAGATTATCATTCACTTTTTTGTTTAAGTATATATTTGTACTGATCTACAATTGAGAGTCTTTTTTTAGACATAATCATTTGTATATTAATATAAATTCTGAGTTTTTTTGTCATTTTGATTGATATGTAAAGAAATTTGGTTGAATCAACAATGAAAATAAGAAAATATCTCTTTATTACAAATACAACTAATAAATATATATAAAAGGTTGCTTTATTATTAATAAATGCAACTGCTATTGCTTAAATATTTAATTTATTTCATCTGAAGATTTCTTTTCACCGATTAACGAAGAAATTATTTCATTGACAAATTTTTTTTTATTTGAATAATACACACATTGTTTAAGACGCATATTATTAGTGAGTGAAACGATGCGAAAAACAACAATATTACTTCGATTTAGTAACGACAGGATATATACATGCACGCACATGGCTCAATAATTTATTGTGAAGAAAATCACAAGAGAAGAAAAAAAACCATCGTTCTATATTATCAACGTGGCGTCTCTTCTTTTTTTTGTTTCGATTACTTTTACCTTTGACTATTATGAGTTATACCTCGAAAAAACGATAATTTTGTGATAAGAAATGACAATGAATTGTTTGCCATTTTTGAATCTCTATTCTATTGTATGAAATCGAATATTATATCTAAAATATTTATAGATTAATAAGAGAAAATACAATTATTTCTAACCTTCCATCTATTCGAAATAAACGAAAAAATATTTTTGCCTTTCATCTAAATTAAAACGTTAATAATTAGTCAAATTAAACAAAGAAAAATATCTAATCTTATTCTATAATATATAACAAACATTTTGTTACTTGTATCTCTTAAATTAATAATCTAAAAACTCTCTTTGTTTAATTCTAATATTTTTTGTCCGAGTATTCCCTTAAATACACAGATTTTTTGTTTTCAATCATCTCAACTGGTTGTATTAATAAAAGTGTTTATAGTTTGTCGTATAAAAATGACTTTTATCTCTTTAAATATCAATTTCGAGATAAGATAAAGAATGTTTATGTTAAAAAATTTATTTCTAATTTCATTAACAAATACATTCATCAATACTAAAGAATATAACTAAAGGTTTTTGTAGTATAAACAACTCTTGATTATAATAACAAATGAAAATCATATATTGACTTACGAGAATCGAATATCCTCTTTATACAAGAAAAATAAAACTGCTTTGAATTATATATTCTTAACATAGTAGAAGTAATTAAAGTTGTCATAAAAAAACAACACTTTGACTTTCATAATCAATGATTCTAGATTACAGAAAATGACACTACCCATGCCATGGAAATCGATGATTTGTTTTTGATAGAAAACCACTACCATCCATTTTCTATTGTTCTAATTTAAGTTTTTTGAAACACGGTGGAAGATCATTTCCTGTCACGCTCTTTTTGATTCATATGACAGCTTTATGTCAAACATCTAGGTAAGTTTCTGGCCAGATATTCATTTTTTTTGATAATAAAATACAATAGTAGTTAGAAAAGTTCACTTTAAACTTCTCTTTCTGTCCTGTATGATATTTTCTCTCACTAAGTCATGTTTGTTGAGAAGTGACTGTGTGAGTAAGAGAGGCTACATTGTATGTATCTGTTTATTTTACATACATATTAAATTCTAAGCAAGACACCCATTGAGTTTTGTTCAATTCTATTCCATAGAAAAAATTTTAACAGCATTTTTGTGGAAGTAAGTTATAATATAATGAATTATTTTCACAGTGTAGAATCAATATGTATTGAGTTTATGATAAAACAAACCAAATGTGTAAGAAATGAAAAACATATTATATGTATATAGTATATATAATACAATTACATTTCTCTATTTATTCTTTATGTTGTTTGTTTAGTATAGAAAAAAAAGAGAAGATTTTGTCTTTGAAAATAATAGAGAAATAATTCGAATGAAATAAAGAAGAAGAAGAAAAAAAAAGAGTGTCACCATCATAAAAGAAAAAAGAAAAGACAAAAAATGAACAAATAATAGAAAAGAAAAAAACATAGATAAATACTAAGCAATTGATCATGCTCAATTTGTTTTGATAAAATTGATTTTGATAATGTATCAAGTTTATTTTGTTGTTCTTGAACTAATTCATTATTATCATTCTTTTCTTTATTTAAACGAATTTTTAATTGATTTAATTCATCACGTACTAATTCATGTTCGGATATCAATGAACGGTAACGTTCTTGTTCACTTCGATACGAATCTTCAGCAGAAACGATACGTTCTAAAAATTAAAAAATATTAATAGAAATTTTTTCTTTAAAAATTACCATTTGTTTTATTTAAATTTTCACGAAGTAAAACAATTTGTTTTTGTGCTTCTATTAATTCATTAACAGAATCATGTCCATTGATATTATCATATTTTTCTGTATGATTATGATTAATAATAGGATCAATTTGATCTAATGGCATTATTGATTCATCATGTGTTTCATTTTCTCCATTTTCTTTCAATATTGGAATATCAATAGAATTATTATTTTCTATAATTGGATCTATGAATAATAAGAAAAAGTATGATAATAATCGAAAAGGATTCTATTATTACCAAGTAAAGAAGATTGAACTTGAAATCGACCATGAGCTGTTCCATTCTAATAAAAAGAAGAAAAAATTTAATTAGAAAAAAAATTTTCCTACTTGTATCGATTTCTGTTGTAATTCTTCTAGATGATGTGTTCGTTGATAATATTCGTCAAAATCATTTTGTATTCGTTGTTTTTCAATTTCTATATCTGTACATCGTGTTTGAGAATCCTGCAAATGATACAATATTTTATTTTTCTTAATTAAAAATCTCGAGATCAATACTCGTAATTGTATTTCAATATCTGAAATCAACGAACGTTGTTCATCAACTGATTGTACAAGTTGTTGAATATCTTCTTTCTGTTGTTCATTTTGCTCATTAAAACGTTTTAATTCATCTTGTGCTATTTGTAATGAACATTCAAGAGATTTACTTCGACTATTCGCATCTGCACAATCAATCAATGCTTTTTCTAATTTAATCTTTACAAAACAAAAGAAATTAAGCGTTAAATAATTTATACAATCAGTATTACTTTTGATTCTTGCTCAAATTTTGTATGTGATCCGGTTAATTGAACTAATTCTTTTTTTATCGGATCTTCATTCGGATGCTAAAAAAATTAGGAAAAAAAGGGTGAATATTTTTTGTTTATCACATTCAAACTTACACCTATCAGCATTTGAAAACATCATTACTAATTTCATAGTCGCTCAATAATCATATTATTTTAACAAATTGTTACACTTCTTCAAACTTCTAAAAGTGGCAACTACTTATAGAAGATTTAGTTGAAATTATAATTCTTACGTTTTATTGAGAAATACAGGGCAATAAATAAAAATGGCATAGCCTCTACATTTGTAACAATATCGAAACAAAAGTTCATTGTAGTATAGATTGAGCGATTTCAAGTTTAACATAAATCATTAATCAGAAATACGAAAAGATAAAAATTCACTATTTTATCTCGCTGCACTGGAAGTATGCTATTAATTCAAACTTGATCGCTAACTATCAAGTTATTGTTTAATTAGATTCTGCACTCATACAATAGATTCCAGTATAAGTTATGAGTTTTTGTCTGTAATTTCTAACGAGAAAATCATATGATATTTTTAAAAAGAATGTTTGATCGCTTGTTTCACTATACATCATTCACAATTTATCAGCAAGATCAACTATTAGATATAGAACGACAAATATTTTCTTCTATAATACTTTTGATACGACTTAAATGTGATCAACTATGGCTAATAGTGAAAGAGCAATAAATTAAAGTAGGGTGTGGGTATGGGTGTGTGAAGGTGTAGGTGGTTGTGGATGTGGGTGATATCAGCATCTCTCATACTCACACTTAGACCTACACCAACATCTTCACCCTCATCCATCTATACTCAACAGCAAGATAATGTATCAAAAATGATATTCTCTTCACACTTTTAAGTAAATTCTACGTTGATGATATTATTAAATATTTTGTATAAAAATGTCTATTAAATAAAATAATAATACTTAAATATTATTGGATTTTAATTAGATTTTACCCAGGGACTATAAATATATTAAAAACGATTAGAAAATGTTGCTTTCTCTTTACATCTTAATTTGTTTTCAAAACTCAAAATGATCAGTCATATTTCTGAAGAAAGCCTTTGATTAATAGAAAAACTAGTCGATCAAATTTAATCCTTCTTCTTACAATGGAAAAACTTTCAATTTAGCTACATACTACTTATTAATATTATAAAATTCATTCATAAGCAACGTAGAGAAATTGAGAAGCTTGATATTAATATAAAACAAATTTATACTTAGGGCATACCAGAAGTAATAGCAGTGACACTTTTTTTACTCTTTAACAGGCTTAGGTAATTTTTCTTTCTATGCTAAGGGTGTTACTTTATTTTTATTTTACATTATAATAAAGATTAACTTTATTCTTAATAAAGTAAAGATAAAGTAACAGCCCTACTAATATTTATTTCTGATGTATTTTTGCTGAAGTTTTTAAATGTTGAAAAAATGTTTTTTATATAAAAAAAGGAAAATACACACAAGTGAGGTTTTTTTACAGTTTTTATCGGAGAATCGTATTAGAGGCTAGACTAAAATGCATACTATTCAACTGAGCCTTTTACACTTTGTAGATCTTCGATTAATAGTTTGCATTTATATTTGATAATTGAAAATTCACCGTAAACAATTTATCAGATATGTTGGTTTTGAAAAAAGTCGAAGAAAGACCTTACAAAAGCTAGATTCGAAAATCCTGAATTGAACAGTTTAATGCGTCTTCATCTCTTCTTTCCAACAGTGAAGACCGCGGTTCCCTATCTCTTTTCTATCAAAGAATACTCATCAATATAAATACAATCAATACATAACCAACCGAAAATAATTTTTATAGATAATTCATTATTATAATATTAGCTGAAGTATGATCAAATAGCATAGAAATATAGAGCTTCCTTTTCTCTATCAGTCTGTATAGAAACAAAAATTGCCTAAGCCTGTTATAGAATAAAAAAGTGTCACTGCCACTACTTTTGGTATGCTCTGAGTATAATACTTTGCTTCAGGAGATTGATATTTCAACCTACCATATTACGTGGATTCTTCTAAAACACTCGCTCAATGTGAATACACGTTTTTTTGTCAAGTTAATAAGAAAATAAAGAGTATTGAAAAACAAGGACACAGAAGACATCAAACAGATTCATCAAATTTTGAAAAAAACAGTGTGTCAAGTAACGATCATAGGAATATAATAGATTAAATAAAAAAATGTAGTGATAAAACTTTCTCAATGTATCTAAAAAAAAGTTTTATTTCCTTTTAATAATAATTCTAAAAAACATCTTTTAACTCACATTTCATGTTTGCTCTATCAAAATTAAGATCGAAGTCATTGCAAAATATACAAACATTTTTTCTTTTATGACGAAGTAATATTTTCTGCCTTTGCAATATTTGTTTAAAGCTTGAAAAATAGCTTGTTAGAGTCAGTTAGGTTAATAAACAAAAGATCTATGAAGTTTAACTTCTCGATTTTGAACAATAGATCATCTCACGTTAGTAGTAACTAGATTAGGTTTTTTTCTGATTTCATGTATAATAATATACGTGTATTTCTTTATCTATGTATTCTGTTCTATGCAGGGAGTGTAGTTGTAGATATTAGTGAGTAATAAACTGAAAATGTACATTGAGATTCACACATACCCACACCCAAATTCTGAAAGCATCAATGTAGGAAAAAGAAAGGACGTCTTTTTTCATGTAGCCGGTAGTTGCATTATAATGACAGTAATTAAACGATAATGCAACCACCGGCTACATGGGTTGTGACGTCAACAACAATCATTTTTCTGTTATGACAGTAACAAGATTACGAATCAAAGTTTTATTTTTAACAAGAAAAGTATATTACTAGCCGAGAGGAAGACTTTGTCACTTGCAATTTCTATAAACAGCATATCAAAAACAGAAGTACGTCATTATTATTAAATATTCTCAAACTAAACAGGTTTACTGACAGAGAGAAGATATTCAAAGAACCGTGTTATATTCCATTATTCGACAATAGTAACTATGCCTACTGAAAAAGTGACTTCGTGCGTGATGTTTAGTCACACAGCTACTATTTTGAGAAGCCAGTTGAAAAAGAGAAACAGTCGACCAGAAAATTGTTCTAATTTATGAAGAAATGCTTCATTCTGCTTAGTTTAATATATATTAACTAGAAATGGAAGCAAAGAAAAAACTATATAGAGAGAGATTACAGTTCTACGATATATATTTCGTTAGATGGAGAAACCATTACGTTTATAGAGAAATGTATATTTTAATTGTCCACTGAAAATACATATATTTAATAATTCTATATTTATTGGTAAAGTAATAGTTAATTGTGACATCTCTTATAAACTAGCTATTGTGATTTTTTGAAATGTTTTTCAAATACTTAAATAGACATATTTTAGACTACAGTTGTTCATTTTCTTGATATGGTATCAATTGATACACTTAAACTGATTACCAAACAGTTGGCTATTTATGGCAATTCAGCATTATTGATTAGTGGAATCATTAGTTCATGTGCTAATGTTTTTGTATTCTCACGACGACATTTACGTAAAAGTCCAAGTTCTCGGTACATACTCGTAACAAGTTTATTTGATTTTTTCAATATTACATTTTCCGTTACAACACGTTTAATGATCGACGGATTTGCATTCGATCCATTTTCAGCAAACAGTTATGCTTGTCCAATTCGTACATATTTGTAAGTATACTTATCATGTTTGACAAGAATCCTCTTCGGACGGAGTTATAACAGGACAAAATTGCATTTGAGACAGAGAATGTATAAGGCGAGGATCAGACTAAAATTGATTATAACTAACAAATTCTTAAAACGAATATTAAGAAATTTCTCGGGATTAGAATATTTAACAGTAGTAATATCGTAACAGTAATATCAGATTTTCATGATCAATACATTGCATTTTGTTGTGTAACCACCCAACAAATTATTGATTTAAACTTAGCATGAGATATAATATTTCTATAGACTACCTTGAGGGTGTGAGTGTGGATATGACTTTGAATAAAAGAAGAGTAAAACACCCACACCCTTGGTAATAAAAAAACCATCTCCAAAATGGGTTGTTAAAAACTCTAAAAACAAATGCTATTGGGTAGTTTTTATCGAATTCTAAAACTATCACTTTTCCACATAGATTTTCGAAACTGCAGCACCCTGGTATGATGACAGTTTTAACATCTATGTTAGGCTTGAATTGAATCCGAGTAGCTCGCGCAAATATTAATTTACATGGATGTTATTTTCCTAATGCCACCCTTCTACTTTATCATGTGAGATTCTTAAGTATAGATATGAATGAAAGACGAATGATATTTAGTACGAACTACATACCTTATCTATCAACTTGGTCAATTTTTCGTTTAATCAAAGGATAAGGAGTTACTCTCGTCGCTTTGTTTTTTATTGGAGATAGTTAACTGAAAAATAATAAGTATAGTGCATTTTATTTTGTTTATTATTAATTAGAGCATTTATATTTTCATTCTGCCCGATGAGTTGCCGTTGTTTATCAATCATCGATCGATATTTATGTTCATCTCGATCAGTATTACTTAGAAATTGGAGTTCGACTAAAGTAGCTCATCGGGCTTTATTTATTAATTGCCTATTTTGGTTGTTAATCGGTATTCCATTATTGATTTTCACCAATCCAATTACCGTTAGTGTTACTCGAATAGTATGCAATTTTTCAAATCAATATTTTGGCAACTATTATGCATATTTTCTCAATCCTGTTGCTTATTTTGTGACACCATCACTTATAATGAGCATATTTTCGATTGGAACATACAGAAATCTTCGAGTAATGATAAGAACACCTCATGTAGGAGCACAACGACGTATAGAACAACAATTTATTCTCGTAAGTTTGATTTTTTTTCTAATTTTCAAAAAAAAGAATTTTTTTAATAATTATCTGATAGATGATTATTATTCAAAGTGTAGTATTTACAATTTCATCTCTTCCAAATGGAATTCGTCTTGCGTATACAATTGCAACAAGTGCAGTACAAAAGAGTGCTTATCGAGTAGCTCAAGAAGGTTTATTTTATGAAGTAGCTTTAATATCTTACTTCATTAGTTCTGGTTCTTCATTTTATATTTTTATTGGTTTATCGAAAGACGTTCGTTCAGTAGTGTTAGAGAAGATTCGAAAGAGACCATCTATCCTTGTAACAATAAAACAAAATCGCGTCGGTCCAAGCATTAATAACCAACTCATGGTAGGTGCCAATATGAACAAATCATTTACAGGAATATCGGCGACAATTACCAAATAATGTAGTAAACAACTGACAATATTAAGAATTTGAAAAGTTTTCATGTTGTTCTCTTTTCGTTGTACTCACGTTTTCTTTTATTAACTGCATCCCCATGATTCAATTTTTTAATAAAGGATTTTTTGAACGAATCACCATTCTCTTTTAGATTTGATCTATAACGTTTGTTCATTGTAATAAATGACGATGAAGAGTTGATAGAGTTTCAACTATTTTTCGATAAAACAGTATTATTGTCATTTACAACTTAATCTACAATACAGGCCGTCAACAAGTATATAATTCCAATGAGTCTGAAGGGTTAATGATGTCCTTACCTTGAGATTAGATCATTCGATAAACACTCATCAGATTATTCTAGTCTAAAATTCCTTGTATTTTTGTTATAGAATATCTCTTTTAAACTGATAATCTCAGTTTGAAGGAAAAGCAATCGATTCGACTGCCTTTTTATATTGGTTGATGGTGCCTGTTAATCACGACAACCGTTCTGTTTCTCCTCTGCTCTTTCATTGCTTCAAAATTTAGCTAAAATCGATGTTGCAAAAAGAAAATTGGGCGATAATCTTCAAAATCAGCTTCTAGACTCAGAAGATTTGGGTGTGGGGTGGGTGTGGCTGAGAGTGTTTAGGGTTCTTCTTCTCGCACGAGCACACACCCCTCCACACCAACACCTTTAAGATGGTCTTTCAAATGCACATAAAAGATCAAAAATCACTTTTTTGTCTAGTACCTCATATACTGAGACGTTGCTCGATATTGCCATGAAGTCTCTCTTAAGATCTTATATCAGCTATAATTCATGTTATCAATTAACAGGTAATCGACTCTTTTGTAATATTTGTTTTCTCAACCAGAAATTATCACAATTTTCCTTTTTTCTCAACTAGGACATATCATGAGGAGAATAACATCAGATAACGTGGCAAGGGCGTACCGACTAGGGAGCGTGTGGGGCATGACACCTCTGTTTTTGAAAATTACTGATGTTACACTAAAGGTCGTCGCAAGCGGGCGAAGTCTAGAAGTCATCGTCTGCTAAATCTTTGTAAATGCTAGTTTTTTTGCCCTAAAATTTACGACAAATTTTTAAATTTTTTTTGAAAACTCCAAAAAATTCAAAAGAAATCCAAAAATTTTCGAAACTTTCCAAAAAAGTCTTAAAAACCGTAAGAAAATTTATCAAAAAGCTCAAAAAAATCGTCGAACATCTCAAGTTTTTTTGAATTCGACATCTCTTGTTACGCCCCCTGCCCTGGATGCCTCGGTCCGTCCCTGGATAACCTACTTCTCTATTAAGGACGTTTTATTTCAAATTTTGTTTTTCTGGGTACTTTTACTATTTTTATAAAAATATTTTATGATTATCATGCGTTTTCAAACAATTCAAAAGAGTCAGAAAGCATAAAATATTTTATGATTATCATGCTTTTTCGAACAACTCAAAAGAGTCAGAAAGCATAAAATATATCAAATAAAATCTTCACAATATTTAATATGCATCACTTCATCGCATTTTGTGATGTCACCAAATAAGACACATAAAAGATGGAAGAAAATACAGGATTTTCATTTTTAGTTGAGAAAGGGAAAACTATTTCACACGACTATCTTTTACAATATTTACTCTATTAATAAGATACTTGGTAAGTACTGTTACGAACATTAACGAAGGAATATTTATTACTATTGGATGATTCTAGACGCTTTCTAACGGATATATATCTGTAAAATGATAAAAAAAAAAGTATTGAGCCTATCGTAACACTATTGCAAATATGTTTTGTTCTGAAAAAAAGATTTTTACACGATAAAATGAGACGCATCTGAGCTTCAAGAACAATAAACTCTCACAAATTTCAGAACTGAAATGTTATTTGACTTTCATCATGTCGATGAAGATGAAGTTTTGAACGAAAAGTAATAGATCTATATGTGAATGTGAATAGAAAGATAATGACTCGTTCGCTCTTATTCATTCAAAATATACGTTATGTAATTAGACTTTTCAAGCATTCTGCAAAACAGAGTGTACATATAGTTACAGGATATATTTTACGCATTTTACTTAGCTTAGTATTTTCACTGCCACAAATATATCGAGGGTAAAAATGACGATCATTTCTAACGAGAGAAGAACAGATCCTAGAATTCATTAAATAAAACGATAAGGAAATATTTTAAAAGATGTTAAGGATACCATCATCTATATTTTAATTTATCGTTAGTTGTCACTCTCTTAAAACGATCACACTATTATCGAGAACGATTTTGATTAGTTTTGAAAATGTCTATATTGTCTCTTTCCGCAGTGCACAAACAATACTTTGTGAAAATATTTTGCAAATAAACAGGCACATAACATGGCATCATGGTCGTACATTACTCAAATGCTTACACTTTATGCGTTTATTCCATCATTGTGTATAGGTCTTTTAGGTAGTTTAATGAATGTAATCATACTTTCGACAGCGCGTATGTATCGTACACAGCCATGCACATTCTTTCTACTCATAGCAGCGATAGCGGAATTTGTGCACCTCTTGGTTGCAGGAATATCCCGTATTTCTGCTATTGGCTTTAATATCGATTTAACTCTTCTCTCACCTGCATGGTGCAAATTAAGACCATATCTTATTGATATTTGTTATGGTATGGCATTGACATGCGAATGGTTGGCAACAGTAGATCGTTTTCTGTGTACCGCACGATCTGCTAATCTACGAAAATTAAGCAAGATCAAATGGGCTCATTATATTAGTGCTAGTGTATTTGTTTTCTGGACACTTACATCTGTACCGGATTTCTTTTCCTTTTATATAAGGTTAGTAAGCTATACTTTATATTTTAATTTAATTTACAAGGAAAATCAAGATGTCAAGTTCAAAGCTAATTAGAGCGAGAAGAAAAAGTTAATATAACAATCTTGATAGATTTGCGATTTTCTTAAATACATATGAGTTCTCTATGTGAATTAATTCACAGAAAATTTATGTATATAATTATAACAACTGTCAAAATTGCTTGTCAAATAATTTATTAAATATTATTACAAAACTTAGTATATGCTTCAATGTAAATAAGATACCTAGATGATCAAATTAGAAATGTATAATGAATCCTTTATATTCATTAAATTACTTATTTAATTTTTTACAATTATAAATAGATTATGAAAATGTAAAAAGTAGGTATTTCCATTATGATTTCAAATTTAATCATCCATTAACTAAAGAGAACTATGGCAAAAATTCCTATCGAATTTATCATTTTGACAGAGAGTATAAATAGGGAAACGAAGAAACCATCTTAAAAGTTTCTATGTCATTTTCCTGTACCTGCATTTTTTAATATTCAGGTCGAACGTTTGTGGCAATTACAATGACATTTGGAAAATTTACCGTACTTATGTTAATAATTGGTTTTTTTATCCAATATTGCCGGTGGTTATTGTCACTGTATTTGGTACACTTGCATATCGAAATATGCGCACTTTAACAAATACCCGTCAACTACAAGGAGCTGATCGTCAACTTACTTATATGATTTTTGGACAAATAATATTAATTATTATTGCAGTTGTGCCTGGTGGTATTTTCTTTATATACTCATCGTCAGCACTTTCTCTAACCAAAACGGCGGAACAATCAGAGATTGAATATTTCATCTTTAATGTTCTCAATACTCTGACTGCTCTCACATATGGAGTAAGTAAAACATCCTTTATTTTATCAATTTGTTAAATATTTTTCTTGTTTAAAGAGCGGTTTCTATGTATTTCTCATTGTCTCAAAAACATTTCGTCAACAAGTCAAACACTTTTTCTGTTGTTTTGGCAACAATCCAAACGCTGTGATGCCTGCAAATGCGAACGTGACTCCTGGTAGAGCAAACATTAAATAACAAACTACGAACTCACATTATATCATGCTCTTATTATTCGCTTCGTGTATCGTCAGTTCTTTATTTATTTGATGTTAGCAATAGTTATATTGAAATCAACATTCATTAATGAAACATCACTTTATTTCTCTTTACAACTGATTGTATTGTTGTATATTAGTTAGAAGCTTTTCATTACTCTGCTTTTTGTATTTGTATGTATCGTTATGCAGAATGTTGTTTCATTGTAAAAGTTTAAAAATAATTCCTTATTTTTTAATTATCAATATATTGAACCATAGTTATATTCAACAATGTTTATTAGAGATTTTATAATAATCTTTTTCAAGACATTCGAAAAAGTTTTTACAGACAGAAATTTTTTCCTGAACATGTTATATAAATTCAGAAAGAGATCTGTACGTGCTGATTTGCACTGCAATCTTTGTACTGTTTGTTGATCAAACTATCAATTCATTTAAAAATACAATCAGACCATGAAGTTGTTTTTTAAGTCAGCCTACAATAAACAGAAAGGTTCTATTAGATTATTGTCAACTCTATAACAATAAAACAAGTCAATTAATTTATTGCAACAGACATCTTTAATAGAATAAAAATACCGAAGTATCTAGATAAAATAATACATATGTGAGGGTGTGGGTGTATTGTTATGAGAGAAGAAGAGCCCTTATCACCCACACCTTCAAAGCTATAATTTTCCATAAATATATCTGTTATAATGGAAAAGTCAAATTCACAAATGTAGCATTACTCACTATTTGGTAACATATGTCTAGTATGTAAATCATCTTAAATTAATTATATAGCAACACCTTTGCTTTGATAAAATGAGTATACATTCGAAAAAAGAAAACAAATATGAGATTATCTTAACGATAGAATAGTCATATAAACAGAAATAGACAAGTTAATTGAAAACTTATTTTCATAGCGATTATCTTCAGCTTGAACATTTGTTGTTTTATACCATATTTTGTTATGTTTTAAATATCGGGTATATCCATCTAATATATACAAAATTTCGTTTTAACAAAAAGCGATTGTTATGCGTGAAACTTATAGAATATTAACGAGTATTTATTACATACTTTTACAAAATATTTCACTGTATGCTAATGTTTGATAAATTACAAACTATAATAAAAAGATGTCTCTGTGTATTGAATCTCCACACGAAATATAGTTAAAGCTAAAACAATGGCTTATGTGCAGTTTAGAAGAGCAAGTTAAAATTATTTCTTCCCACATTCTTTTATTCATACACTATCTATAACATACAATACGTGCATATATTATCAATAAATACATGTTGTTATTCGTTTTCTTATTCTAGATAAAATATCGAGCAGGATGAAATTTGAACAATTACCAAATGAAATATTCGTTGAATGCTTTCAATATCTCAATGCACCTGATATCTTTTATTCATTTGATCGATTAAATTATCGGTTTTACATACTTATTCGAAACATTCATTTACATCTCAATTTTGAACAAGTTAAAAAGCCTTTATTCGATGAATTTTGTCAAATAATACGAATAAATCCGAAAATAAAACGAAACATCATTTATTTAAAATTATTAAATATAGGTAATGGTGAACAGATTGAATCATTTTTGTCATTATTTCCATTAAATGAATTTATTTGCCTTCGATCATTATCATTTATTAGCAACGTTTTTGATTATACTGGCCAAAAGCAAGAACAAGTCTCACCTATGTTAACCTTATTACCTGATTTATACCGATTTTATGCTCCTAAATGGAAGATAGAAGCAGAAGCTATATCTAAAACGAAAATACAAGTGTTAACATTATGGAAGTATTGCCCAACATCTTTTCATCCAATATTGGCAGTTACATCGTCATTTACATCATTAAGAATTCTTTTCTGTTCTGCATGTGAGTTACAGTTAATATTGAATTATACACCGATGTTAAAATATATAAAAATTGACAGATTTACAGAATATGATAAGCCATATGATATACATTATGGTATGCAATATAATATGAAACATAATATGCAATGTAGTGCTGATGGGAGCTATAAATATGATTTTAGTAAGATATGTGCTGTTCGTTTGAAACAGTTACATCTAGACCATTCTGTGACTTCTTTTGAATTTATCGAACAGTTGTTAAAATGTTTTCCAAACCTGAAAATCTTTTCAATTGTTGCTATAAGTGCTCGCAATATGATTGATGCTGATCGATGGCAACGTCTCATCAAATTTTCATTACCACTATTACGTGTATTCAACTTTAACTTTGGTTGCTACGATTCTGAATCTTACGATAATATGTTAATCAAGCTTTCACCATTTCAAACTGATTTTTGGTATCAACATAATTGGTATATCACTTATGCAATCGATGATGAATCTACATCAGTTTATACTATACCATACTCATTTACTCACTATACATTAACACCTACTATGAAAAAATATAGTAGCTCATCAACAAATGGTTTGAACGAATTTGATAATGTTAAGTCTTTATCTTTATTTGCTGGTGCAATTAGAGATGATTCATCATGGTATTTTCGAAATATTCAATCAATAAGTTTAGCAAGTACTGAGAATCATCGTAATGAAGACAATGAGTACGAATTCAAAATAGAACATTTGAAGAAGATGGTCAACTTATTAAATATCACAAGACTGGAAATTACAGAAAGATGTGGAATTAAACCAGAATTACTGTTTGAAATATTAAAGCAAATGCCAAATATATCATCATTAATCTTAAAGAAGAAAATTGTAAGTTCATTTTACACCAATCACGAACTCTGTGAATTTTTAAACAAAAAGATTAAAATGTTGGATTATACTAATCCATATTATTATCCATATAATTGTCCATATTATTATCAATATAATAAAATTCAAGATATAGATTGGTTTTGTAAAACATTTTCAAATGTCGAAGATCTTCATTGTCATATCGATAATGTTGATGATGTTTTATTGATATTAACAAAATGTTCCAAATTATCAATAATAAAAATCGAATGCGTTAATCAATCAATCTTTACATGGTTTAAACTCAATGCAAGAACATTTAACGTTTACATTAATTATGAACTAAAATCTTATAGAACACGATAAGAAGCAAATATCAGCATGTGATTCAGATTAAAAAACAATTTACATTTAATCACGTTTCAGATTTATTTTGTTGTTCAGTGCTTTTATTTTAAGGTGCTATAAATGAAAAACTAGTAGCAGACGATAGATTTGAACGAATCACACATTGTTGGATAGAGGAGATTATGAATGTTTTCTTCTCCGATTTTGAAGACCAAGTTTTGACCGAAAAAAAATAATAATTAGACAATTCGTAAGAAAAGTCAAGATTTCATTCGTTTAGAGCCACGGACATGTTCTGAATCTAAATTATTTCTATTCAGCATCAACAACTGACTTGATCATTGTTCTTCTGCTGTACAATCTCGATTACGATTGTGTATAATCATCCTACGTCCTTTATAGTTTTACATTCGGAATTAGGAAACAAAACTTTAAAAACTATGTTGAGTTTTTTGGACAATCTAAAAGTACAGTTGCTCTTATACTTAAGTACATAATCGCAGAAATCTATGTTACATATGATTTTGAAGGAGACTAATAAAACTAACAATTTTTGAGGAAGGGTGTGAATGTGGGTACCATAAATATGGTACACCGACACCCTCAAAATACTAATACAGACATGAATCTATAATATATTATAACAGAAAGATCCAGATTATGATCTTAAGTCAAAGTTGAATAATATCATACTATGTAGAATAAATTAATATGAACAAGAAAAAATAGCTCTGTATATAGTTTTGTCTTTAAATTTCAACTGAAATTTGCAATAGATATTCTACATTAATCAATCTGATTTTCCTAGAGCGGCTTCAATCAATCAATTTAAGACTCACAAGGAGATAATTACTAATCACAAAGAAATATTATGTAGAAATCGTATTATTGTCTATTCCCTTTCGTTAAAATGCATACCACCTTAAAAATAAGGGAAGTTGGATGCCAGTATTTAGCTTAACTCTTCAATATTCATATACTCATTCTCACTACATCGTATATCTAATACAAAATATAGATAGTTCTTTGGATTATCTGCTGTTATTATTTACAGATATGTTCATCTATGTCATTCATGAACTTACTTCGAAGTCGTTTTGTAAGCAAAATGTGTCAATGATTATTATTCTGAATTCGATGAATACTATCAAAACAATTAAATATTATGAAAAACTACACTGCAAAACTAACAGGACATTTGAAACGATAGTTAAATTTATTTTACCAGTTGTAACTCTTGTAAGCCCTAATAAATTAATCCACAAGAGTAAAAAACAAAGATATTTATTTTTATTCGGGATCGAATATTAAGTTAGGTGGTAATTCGGTAAAAATATAAAAGGAAACCGTTCGCAGACGTTATAAAATGAAAATTCTTCTAACTAAAGTTTTGTTTGGAATTTGAACTGCTTGTAAGACAAATAATTAAATAACTGAAAGTTAATTTGTTTGAAATAATTAATATAACTCTGCACTGTTTAAAGCGGCAGCATTTCCATCAGATCCACCAGTAACTACTACTTTTCCATTTGATAATACAGATGCTGTGTGATCATATCGTGCATTAGTCATATCACTAGTAGTTGTCCAAATACCTGTTGATAGATCATACAGTTCAGTACTATTTGAAACACTAATATCGTATCCACCAGTAACTAATACCTTTCCATTTGATAATACAGATGCTGTGTGAATATATCGTCTGGTAGTCATGCTGCCAGTCGTTGTCCAAGTACTTGTCCATGGATCATACAATTCAGCATTATTTAAAATAGTATTACTAGTTCTCCACCAGTAACTAGTACTTTTCCATTCGATAATACAGATGCTGTGTGAGAATATCGTACATTATTCATGTTACCAGTAGTTGTCCAGGTACCTGCTGATGAATCATACAGCTCAGCACTATTTAAATAACCAATATAATTACTGTATCCACCAGTAACTAATACTTTTCCATTTGATAATACAGATGCTGTGTGATAAGCTCGTGCATTAGTCAT